ATTTTGTCTCAATACATTCAGTCTGCCTTTCTCATGAGATGGGACCCAAGGAGAAAGTGCAGGTTGTCTCTTCCCTTTGTCGCGTGGTGTTCTGTCTCTTCAGTTTCTCTGTAGGTTTTAATTTTCCTGTCCGATCCTTCTTGGTTCCCGAGGATCTACTCCCCTCCCTCCCCTTTTTGTTTTCCACAAGTTGTTATTTTCCAGTGTCTGGATTCCAAATCACAGAGGCTCAGTTGTTGTTTACCCTTCTCCATTCTCCCAGAAGTCTCTTCGCCCTTTATCTTTCAAGAGAGATCTATTCTCCAACCTTAACCCATCTCTTTCTGGGTTATTTCAGTTGAGATATTCCTTCACAGTCATGCAACATGGAGAGACTCAAATTCAGAAAGATGGAGAAATCTGGCCTCACTAAAGTAGAACAGCATCTGCCAGCTGTGCAGAAGCAATGAGATTATAGCTCACAATAATAAATAGTGCACAAGATAAATAACAAAGTACTATTATTGCAGTCATTAGTTTGGGGAATATAAAATGTGCCAATTTCTTATGAAGGTGTATAGTCAACTCTCCCTATCTGTGGATTTCTTATCTGCATATTCAAACAAGGGAGGAAAATACTACAAAAGCAAAATAAATTGTACCCATATTGAACATTTTCAAACTCCATTTATGGGTTATTCCATAAATATACCAGCATTTCCACAGCATTTACATTGTAGTAGATGTAAGTAATGTAGAGATGATTTAAAGTATATATATAGTAAGATGTACATAGGTTATATGCAATTACTATAACACTTTATACATGGGACTTGATCATCTGCAGATTTGGGTGGCTAAGGGAGGTCCTAGAAACAATCCCTCAAGGATACCAAGCAACCACTGACTATATACATAAATGAGTCTTAAAGGAAAGTAAAAGGGAAGCTCAACATAAAATATGTTCTATCCATATTTACACAAACATATATGTGTACTTTGCCATTATTCAGCCTTTTATTTTAAATTTATTTCACTAAATATTTTTAAATGACAAATATTTTATTTTTAATGAAATTGCAACTTATTTGAATCTCATTTATTTTTACCTATTGATTTTTTAACTTTTCTACTCACAAAAATTAAATTTACTATCCGGGAGTGGTGATGCATGCCTGTAATCCCAGTACTCAGGAGGCTGAGCCAGGAGGACTGTGACTTCAAGGCCAGCCCAGGTAGCACAGTGAGTTTTAGGCCAGCCTGAACTACACAGCAAGACCCTGTCTCCAAAAAACAACAAAAAATAAAAAAATAAATTTACTGTACATAAAAGCATTAATATATGCATATTCAGGGTAAATATTGCATACATACATGAAAATGTATTTAAATTATGTAAATAATTCTCCCCTTTTCTGATTCATTCATTCATTCTTTTATTCATGCTTTAACCCTGGACAAAGGCAGCTACCCAAGTGGCCCCCATGGGAAAGGTGATGGCGGACTGTGATGGTTAATTTTGTGTCAACTTGGCTTTGCTACTGTGACCAGTATTTGGTTAAACTTTATTCTGGATGTGTCTGTGAAGGTGTTTTTTGTTTTTTAATGAGATTAACATTTAAAGTGGTAAACTCACTAAAGCAGACTGTCCTCAGAAATGTGGGCGAGCCTCATCAAAACAATTGAAGGCTTGAATAGAACAAAGACAGACCTGGCCCTGGCTAGTGGGAATTCTGCCAGCAGACTGCCTTTGGACTCAGATTGTACATCCTCCCTGGGTCTCCTGCCTGCTGGTCGTTGAAGATGTTGGACTACCAAACCTCCACAATCATGTATGCTAATACCTTAAAATAAATCTCTTTATGTATATCATTAAGTGCTGGTCGTTTCTCTGGAGAACCTTAACTTTTATGGCTTTTGTCTAGATGTCCCTCTAGAGCGTCTCACTTTACAGAAAACAAAACAAAACACTCTGGCCTTGAAGAACTCAGTAGATCTACAACCCAGACATCCTCCAGGCCCTCTTCTTCCTGCCTGAGAGGATGCTGAATTCCAATGATTCTCACTTGATAAACCACTCAGGCCCTAGGGAAGACCCTGATGTTCTAGTCTACGATCTTTAAGAGACATAGCCATTGTATTTGGGGCTGTGGAGACAAGAGCATGGCCCAAGCCAGGCTATTGGATGCAATCCCTGGGAGGGGCTCTTGCCACACTAGGCTGACGTTCTTAAGGAACTGAGCAATATGAAACACTGTCATGCCAGAGGCCACGGCAGGAGGCTGTAACTCCTGGCCACACCAACCTGCCTCCCCTCTGTGGTCTAGGACTGGTGCCCTTCTTGTTCAGCAATGCCACAAACCTTTTTGGTAACCCATTCCCTCCCTTTCTATCTACAGAGTTAACAGTGAGAAGGCAACCGTAACAGGAAGTTCTTCCCTAAGAAGTCTGTTTCTCCCTAGGAAAATTTCAGGGTGGGGGGCAGCTGAGGGAGGGCTCCAGAGATTCTTAGCCTGCACACAGGTGGCACTTAACAAAAAGTAGATGGGTAAACAAATAACCTACTATGAAAAAGGTACACCAAAGCTTCACTTCATCTGGGTTTAGGGACCAGGGCATAATGATAATACACCTCAGCTTACCCTGCTGGGTCATCCTGCAGGACCCCAGTGGAGATAATTTTCCTCCTTTCCTTACATATCCTGATAATTCTTTCACAATTAAGACTACCTCTCTGGTCTCTCAAGTATGAACCTCTCCTTTACACTGCCCCTCTATGGAACATCCCTCTGTCTGGGGATGGCCCATGGCTGCCTCTCCAGGGAGCCCAACAAGCCTCTGTGTACAGGTCCCTTCCCGATCAGCTGAAATGGGCCTTGGATAACACATACTAGGTTTACCAGTTCTCCAGTCATGACTGTGGCTTTGGTTGCTGCTAAGCTTCTCTGTACATCTGAGAAGTTGTACTTTACCTCAAAAATCCTCATTAGATGGGGATTCTCTAATTGGCTCTAGGAAGAGGGTGAGTGTGCTCCTTAGGCCTGCTATTTGGAAGGTACAGGAGGGAAGATGAGAATGTGCCCCAAAATGTGATATGCAAAACTTGAGTTAACTGTTTTATTCCTACAAATGTGTGAGGTGTGTATTCTACATCACCTACTTCTTGTGTGAAAGTAAAACACTCCTCCACCAGCCTGTGAGTAAAGTGGATTCTGCTGAAAGTTGACTAACGTATTTACCTTGGGACATCAGGCATGTCACATTCCTATTCTAGAGCCGCTGGGCCCAGGCCCTTCAGAAGAGACCTCTAGGTAAAGAAAGACTGCAGAGTGGTGCTTCCACACTGCCGTTTCTGGTCCTTTCTCGAGAACTTTAGCTCAATGGCCCTTGGAACAGTGCTATTTCTTGCCCTATATAAAAGAGCAAAGTCAGAAACAGACCTCCAGAATCATCCTTGTAAGTATGCAATTACCACATTCGACCCAAAAGAATAAATACAAAAGGGGAGAAAATCCCAAACAATCTTCCTCCCACACATGCTTACAGACACTGAATCAAATCATGTGCACCATGCAATCCCGAGTTCCACACCAGCCTCTGGGGAGCTGCAGACCCCTGACAGCACACAGAATACCACCCTCACTCACAGCCCTTTCTTGTCTAGTCTGATAGTCTTCTCTCTTCTATTTTCAGTTTACTAGCACCATTTTTTCCATTTTACTCCAATGTATTATAGGCAGTTTTAAACCCTTCCCAGAACAAAGCAAGATAGGAATAAAAAAGGGGTGGGAAAGGCACAGTGGTCATTGGGCACATGTGGGGCATTCTTAGGAACAGAGGCCCTGCCTGTCTGCACCATTTAATGCATCACAAAACTGCTGGAGCTGGGTAAGAGACTAGCTCTTGCTGAGGAGCTTCTTCCCCACACCTCCTTGGATTTGCAAAACAGCTCTGTCCTGTGTGTAAAGGACATAAGCAAACTAAATCATCACACATTTTACCAGTGTATGTTTTCTACTATTCCTAGAAGATGGCTTTTATTTATGAGATATGCAACTTTTAGTCAGTGCCTTGAGTACTGCTCAGCAATTCAAGATACAGCACTAAAAGGTTTAGGAGTTATAGCATCCACATTGATAGAGGCACAGCCTGGGATATGTTATATACTAATGTATGACTCAGTTATCAGTGAACGAAATTTCTACCTACTGAAATACAAGCTTAACAACTCTGTCCATTTATACTGTAAGAGACCCTTAATGGAAACAGGGCTCTTTTCTCTTTCTTTCCCAGATTCAGCCTATTTTTGATTCACCTAAGCTTAAATTCCTAAATTGTCTTGTTTAAATCTTAAACCTGTTTCAATCTTTCAAGAGTGAACACTGGAGTAGAAATTGATGTGAATTTTCCAGATAGCAATTTTGCAATAAATAAGTATCATCAGAACACTAAAAATGTCCATATGCTGTTAGTAAGTACACATCTGAGATTTTACCTGCAGAAAAGGACTGAAATACTGATCAGTAATACACAAAATATGGATTGTATATAAAGAGGTTCTTTTTGCTATAAAAGTGGCAGAAAATGATCTAAACAGCCAAGAGAGAAACTATTCATGTAAACAGCAATCACAGGATGTATTATTCTGCAGTTGTTAGTAATGATGTATACATGGCATTTTAACTATCTAAGGAAAGTATTTGGGGGGGGGGCGGCTACCAGGGATTGGACTCAGGACCTTGTGCTTGTGAGGCAGGCACAGTGCCACTGAGCTAAATCCCTGGCCCTAAGGAAAGTATTCTTTTTTTTTTTTGGTACCGGGGATCAAACTTGGAACCTTGTGCTTGGGGGAGGCAGTGGAACCACTGAGCTAAATCTCCAGCCCTCAGCAAAGTATTCTTGATAAAACACTAATTTGAAAAAGTATGGAACAGAATTGCAAATACAGTATGATCTCAAGTACCATACACAGATATCTACAAATACATACCTGAAGGAAGTGGATAAAAACAATCCAAACACAGGATTATAAGTAGTCTTTATTTTGTTTTTCTTAAGTGGCTCCATTTTTCAATGTTCAACAATGAACAGTTTTCACTTGCATGATCAGTAATTGAAATAAAAGTTGCATTAAAAATAGGTTGAGGATATAGCTTACTAGTAGAGCACTTGCTTACATATCTTGATACCTTGAGTTCAAGCCTTTAGCATGGCGTCTGTGTGTGTGCAGAAATTCACCACAAAGCAAATTACTAATTACAATGTACTCCTTTTTATTAAATTATAAAACTGATGCCCATCAATAGACATACTTGTGGAATTAAATATGTTTTTCTCAACTGTCTTCTTTTGTGGAGCACATGATTTTTTTTTTGTACTGGGGATCGAACTCGGGACCTTGTGCTTGCAAGGCAGGCAGCAGAACCACTGAGCTAAATCCCTGGCCCCTGGAGCACATGATTTTAAACAAATAAATTTCCATACCAACTTCTTGGCCTTCAAGCTTTTTAGCACTTTACAGCCAAACTACCCAGTACAGCTATTATATGTACAATCAGAATTCATAGACAATATTACAAAGATGAACACTTTGAAAAGATGACAGGGAAAGGATGACAGGATGTGCAGGAGATAACCACAGCTATTAAAATGGTATAAAAAATGTAGCCAAGATAAAGTTTTAGTCCATTATGGCTTTGCATAAAGCTTTAAAGGAGAATTTAAGACACTTATCAAAGGCACTTTATAATAAAATACTTTAAATTTAGTTTGAGTTGAACAATATATTTTATTCCTTTTTTCACATTCTGCCTCACACTGAAGCCATCCTTGAAGGCACAAATGAGGGAAAAGTTATTGCTTCTTAATATACACATTAAAAACACACCAACAGCATTAATACAGATTTTGGTCCACCGAAGCAAGTAATAATATCAGACTGTGGTGTTCCTCTCAATTCTGAGTGCAAAGCCATAATAAACTTCTCTACCCTAGTTCCACAGAGAGTCTTAGTTCTTAATGTGTGCTGGCTGGCACCTGGGTTCCCCAGGAGAATGCCAAGTTCAGTTTCCACCACGCCACCTCAGTGCATGTCTGCTGTGGAAGAACCATCCCGGCAGTGTCTCATGTGGCAGCAGACAGGCCCAGAAGAGTCCATGCTCAGACACCTACAATTCGGTATCCCGGTATCTGGCTGGCTGGCTATAGTAACTGCGCTTCGAGTGCTCTGCCAGCTGCTGGCGGTACTCCTCCTCCTCTGCGTCACTTCCGTAATTTCCTTGCATATTCTGATAGGGTCTCGAGGGGCCTTTCTGAGGCTCAGGGGGTCTGGAACTAACAAAGTGAGGGGTTACACACATCCCAGGGATGTCACATCCTCCAGCCGCCCATGGAGGGGAAGTTATGAGCTCAGCCAGCAATAGCCAATGCTGGTCACTACTGACCTCTGAGCACAGTGCCAAATGACCAGGGCACTCCCAGTCCCACTCCAGGGCCACAAAATGGTGGAATGGGACAGGAAACAGGTCAAGGCCAAGGCCTATTGGAGCAGTGAGTGAGGAAGCCAACCAATTGATCCTGAAGCTAAGAACTGGACAGAGGGTGCTGTCCCCACCCCTAAGTTCCCTGGTGACACCAAGGGAGTGAGTGTTCAGCCAGTGTCAAAAATACCAAGTCCTAGGGCCAGGGATTTAGCTCAGTGGTTCCGGTACCTGCCTCGAAAGCGCAAGGTCCCATGTTCAAGCCCTGGTACCAAAAAAACAAAACAACAGAAAAAACAAATACCAAGTCCTCTTTGCTGCCACAGGCAACCTAGTCAACTGGGTTACTCTTCAATTGGTAAGGGAAAATTTGTTTCTGGTTTCCTACTGCCATAAAGCAAAACTTGTTTCCAGTCACAGTGGCTGTAAAAAATGTAATTTTATTAATTTTTTTTTCTATTCTCAGAAGCAGGAGACAATACAATTTAAAACTTCAATAGAAAGATGCTGGGATAATTCCTACTGCCTGCATGGCACTTTATGTAGGCAGCATCTGTTGTGGCTTGTATCTAGACACTGCCCCAAAGCCTCATGTGGTTATAGGTGGGGCTTTTTGAAGGTGGGTAGATCTAAGGTGTGTGATGACAGGATTAAGGATGCGATGCTGGGATTAACAGTACTATGCTAGGATTAAGGGTGCTCACCCTGGGTGTGAGTGCTACCCCTAAGGGTGGGTGGCCTAGACAGAGTATGAGGGACAGAGGGCTGCTGCCATCATTTGCTGCTGCTGCTGTTGCTTCCCTGCTTTGCTGCCTGCCCTGCTTGCCATGGACTGTTCCTCCTCTTTGATGCCTCTCTGTCATGCCACCCTGCCTTATAGCCAACTTTGGACTGAGACCTCTACAAAATGTAAGCTGAAATAAACCTTTCCTCCTTAACTCTGGGTGTCAGGTGTTTTGTCTCAGCAACAAGAAATGTGACTAAGACAGCATCTTATCGACACTGCCAATTATTTGTCATAGTCCCTTCAGACCCACGGTCACACAATTGGGCTGACTTTGCTGGGGGACGCAAAGGAATTAAGGAGCTTGGCTAAGAGCACAAGACAGCAGTGACAAAACAGGTCTAAGCCCTAGCATTTTCCTCATGCACTACCCTGACAAAGTGTAACATAACTGTGCTTCAACATTAGCAAAGGGTACCAGGCACACAAGTGAAATTACTATGAATTTGACACTTTAATCTTTACAATTAAAATTTGATGTAATGGGTAAGTTAAACAGTTGACCAGATGGAAAAAACTCCTCTCACTGTTCTAAAATCTAGGTAAAGAAAATTCTTTCCTCAAGGATAAATGTTAGAGAAGGCCCCTCTTTGTTCTTTCCTACCGTATCAGGGAGCCCAGCCCTTACCTTGTGTGCTGCGACAGGCCGGCATCTGGCTTGGGTGTTTTGATTGGAACTGCATAGAGACTAGGATGCTTCTGAGCAATTTCAATCTGCAGTGTTAGGAAAAAAGAACAGGAAGGAAAGAGTGAAGTGCAGGCAGGCACAGGTTTTTTGTGGGGTTTTTTTTCTGGTTCCCTATTGGCCCACCCCTTCCACTGTCCTACTTTCCTACCCCATTTGAGAAGAGGGAAAATAACGCAACTCTAGTTTTCATGGTTGCATGTGGTACCTAGTGGTATACGTCAAATAGTGAAGATGTTTAAAGGAAATGTAATCCTTACAAATGCTGTAACATGCATGAACCTTGAGGCCAGCACGAAAAGCAAAGTAAGCCAGTCACAAAAAAGAACAAATATTGTAGAGCTCCACTTATATAAGGTTCTTAACTTGTCATATCCAGAAGTAAAATGGTAGTTGCCAAGGGCTGGAGGGAGGATAGAATGAGGTGCTACTGCAGGAGGGGTAGAGTTTCACTTCGAAAGGATGAAAGTTTTCGGAATGGTCGGTAGTGATAGTTGCACAGCAATGTGAATGTACTTAATGTCACCGAACTATGCACTTGAATACAATAAAATTTATATTAAGCATGTTTTATCACAATAAAAAATACCAAAAAAATGCTCAGAAGCACTACTACTGTGACATAATTGAACGATGACAACCCCTACCTTCTGGGCGGCAGAATATGCTCCATGAACCTTTACATCAAAAAAGGGGTCTCGGGCCAGGAATTTAGCTCAGTGGTTTTGCCGCCTGCTGTGCAAGCGCAAGGACGAGTTGGATCCCTGGTACTAAAAAAAAGAAAAAAATACCCAAAAAGGGGTCTCACTGTTACCCAGGCTGGCCTCAAATTCCTGGGTTCTAGTGACCCTTCTGCCTCAGCTTTCTGAGTATCTGGGATTCCAGGCATGTGCTGTCATGCCCAGCTTCATTTAAATTTGTCTTTGGTGTTGAAAGGTTATATGTGCACACAGAACAAAAACTCAAACAGCTGAAAATGTACAATCTATGGGGCTTTTCATTTTAGCACCCAAAGTATGTTGGGATTCTATGGCAAACCTGGACGCAAGCAAAGACTAAGTTACCAAATAATCATGAGCAGCATACTAGCTAAAATTACTTCTGAATGACACTGATTCTCTCATCATACTCCCCCATTCCAAAGCCCATACACAATATGAAGAGCAGGAGAGCAGAATCTGACTCTTATTTCTTGACTGGGAGAAAAAAAAAGATGTGCTGATAGCTGGCAATGTGGAAGTAACACATACAGTGCTGTGCATGCTGACCTCCTTGTCATTCCTGTGGCAGTGGAAAAGGCCTGTGTGCCATTATACTGAAATCAAACCTATTTAAATTATGACACACTCTAGTGGTTTGACAGCAATTACCTGTGCATTCTGTGCTTCCTGGAGCTCTTGCATTCTCTGTAGTCTGGCCTTATGATCCATCTTCTCAAATATTTTGACTTTGCCCAGGACTGATTTGGGAGTGTCTTCTTGTTCCTGGCTGTTCTCCCTGAGCTCCTCACTCTCCGGGGGAGGGCTGGAAATGGAGGGCTTCTGGAAGGATCGTCCAAAGGAGGGTTTCGCCGCAACAGGGGGAGGACAACCTTTGCCAGCTGTCCCGGGAATTTCATTTCCACCCATGGTAGAGGGATTTGACTTATATTCCTGGGATTTAGAGAAGTCACAGGATTCTTCTCTGCTCTGGGTTTTTGCCTATAAAGAACAATGACTTTTTTTAACCTTGGGCTTTCAGTTATTTTCAAGTCTACATTAGTGATTTAATACACTTCATTTCCTGATCAGTTTCCAAAGATGATGGATAAATATCATTCTGACAAAGAATCAAAGATGGCAGGGTGAACAGCCATTAATCGGGCGTGCTAAACCCAATTTCCTTCCTAGAAAAGAGGATCAAGAGCTCTTAAAAACTGAGAGTGCTGGAAGTGCTATCGTTGCTAGAGGTAGATTAGGCCTTGAGTAATTTTGTACTAGAGGAGATTAGAATCTTGGTGAAAATCTCAGAATAAATCAGCTTTAGGACTGAGAGGATGGCTTCAGAGGTCATCCTGCAGTAAGAGTGCAGGCCGAGGCCCAAGGATGAAACCTGTGGCCAGCCAGAGGGAAGTGAGCCTGGTGACAGGCCGGGAGGACAGTGCAGCAGGTCAAAGCCATTTCTCCTTCACACTTGGATTCTAGCCCTGATGCAAATTTTCACTGTACAAGGTCAGTAATTACTCCTGACAGCTCATACAATCGATTACTGTTTGCTTCTCCTCCAAATTACTGAGCTAGAGATATCTCATTGGCGTTTAAGGAAAAGCCTATAGTTACAGCTTTAATTCCAATGGTGACAGAAGAATCATATGACATAACTCCCTTGGGTCTTTAGGCTGATTCTGCTCTGGGTAACAGACAAATTAAGTTGCTTTCATGACAGACATTCTAAAGAATGGTAATGATTGTTTTCTTTAGTAATCACTAGTAAGGATTTTCTGATGAATCCAATTCAGACTGTGGGTAGAAAACTTGGACAGAAAAAGAAAAATAGATTCTGAAAGTGGTGATTCTGGGCATGCAACATTTGGCAAATGTTTTCTACAAGTAAGTGAATCAAATAAACTCTAAGAGTCCTAAAATTGTACACTCTCTTTCTACTGACTCTATCTTCTTCCCTTTCTGTAATTTTTGGGCTCACCCAAAGGTCCAAAAGACCGGCTCTAACAGAGAACACTGTGAGCCAAGACTGTAATCCAATACCATTGTACTTGGTTCTCCCGGGCAATCCACGGGCCTCCTTCCCATCCTGAGGCTTCCCAACCACATACCTTGGGCGGCTCTGGCTTGAATGCTGGGGGTGGGCTACTGTCCCTAAGTTGATCTCTGCTAGCAGCCCTCCTCATCTGAGCTGGTGGGTCTGAGCTGAGTTTCCTTATGCTCTACAAAACATAAAGGTTCATTCACAACAAGAAATCTGAGCAGAGAGAAAACACTCGTCTGCTTTGCTGGAGTTCTACAAACTTGTAAGAGTCCAGAGTGGAGGTGCTGAGCTAGGGCTCCCTCCTAGCCATCCTTCCACTAGAAAATGCTTAGGACACATTTTATAGAACTGGATGCATCTAACGTAGTAGGGTCTGCCTTTAAAGTATAATTTAAAAACAAAACAAAAACACCTTCTTAGAGTCTGATATTTCTTGTGCCATTAATAACTATAAACATTTCTGTTTTGTTTTGTTTTCAGTACCAGGGATCGAACTCGGGTCCTTGCGATTGCACAGCAGGTGGCAAAACCACTGAGCTTAATCCCCGGCCCAATAACTATAAACATTTCTAAGCATCTATCTCCATGGAGATTTAGGGGTTAATTTATTTGTATCTAGCAGCATACAATAATTTTTTTTAATGTAATTTAATTTTTTTTTGGTACCGGGGATTGAACTTGGGTCCTTGTGCTTGCGGAGCAAGCAGTGGCACCACTGAGCTAAATCCCTGGCCCATACAATAATTATTTTTCTGGGGGTGGGTTCTCTTTTTCCTTCACCTTTTTTTTTTTTTTGGTATTTATATTTCAGAAAGAAAAATATACACTGCATTAGACTGCTAAAGGGAAGTCTACAGCAATAATTATCCACATATATTTGGATAATCTCATCTACAAAGTTCATTATTCCAATGTTTTCCAAGGTGCAATTAATAAACCACTAACTGCTGATGTAATTTCTAGGACCATGTAAGCTGTCGAATAACTGGCTAGTGGATGCATAGTACATGTAATTAGATGCATAAATGATCATAAAGTCAATCACAAAATTGAAATACAAGAGAGAAGGAAACTGATGGGGAAACACTCAGGAGCTTCAGCAAGATTAGAAGGTTAAAGGTAGAGTGGAGAAGAAAAGCAAGGACTCCTAAGAGTACAGACAGAGAGACCTAATCAAAGGTTACAAGTAAATACAGCCCTGTCATATTTAAATGTTCCACTTGTAATTTGGACAGCTGGTGTTAACAGCCATTTTGTTCACCCATCATACTTGAGGGCAGAGGAGTGCTGATCACTCAGCTTCTTTCTGGTCCCCCTTTCCCACGGACCACTGCTACAACCATGTAAGTGCTGACTCAGAGTGAAGACTCCCTGGCTGTCATCTGCTCCGACCCTTAAGAATCCCTTCACAGCACCCTGAGTTAACTGTTGTCCAGAAGAAGCAAGTGAAACACCAGAATCTTCTTCTCCTGCCCGGGGCCTTGAAGCCTGTGCCGTGCCTCCCCTCACCTCCTCGTGCTGCACCGGCTCTGAGGAGCGGGTGATGGAAGACACCAGAGGCTCCTCGGCTGGCTCATCCAACTCATTGTCAGTGTAGGCACCTCCTTCGCCATCGGTGTCTTCAAAGTCACTGATGAGGCGGCTGTCGCAACTCAGATAGTCCGCGCCCAAGGCAGTTAAGTAGGACATGTGGTCGTCGGGGTCATCATCCATCCCTTCCATCTAGAGGAATTTGTTTTGGAGGGTCAGCGGGATCTGTCATGGCCCCTGGGAGTGGGGACTCAAAAAAAAAACTCCCAAGGGCACAGCCAAGTGTCTGAAACCTTGACATGTGCTAGACAGGGAAGATAGCTTTAGTTTCCTGAAATCACTTGGCTTTGATCCAATGCAGACATTATGCTAATTTTTGTGGAGGGATCCAAATTAGGGACCCTCTATCATTGCTGCCATCCATTCTATATTCCACAACTGATCCATGCTTTCACTAATTGTGGTGCTTTTCTTCCATAATCCAGCTCCTCTCCAGCCTTTTCTCTTAGTACCTATTTCCTAAGAATAAATGCACACTGCCTTGTGCTATGCATGTATCTACTCATCTATAATACTCTCAGGTCTCTGAGGGTAGAAGCAAGCTCGTACAAAGCCTTGCAGATGGTCAGCACTTTGTGGGTGCTGGATACCTGGACTAACCATCCAGTCCCCAGAGAGCAAGACTTCGTCAATTCTGTAACAAAATCCTCACTATAAAGGCTCACAATCTATACCAATTCACCTGGAACACAGGACACCAGCACCAAAGGAACCACAGATTCTGTGATATTTCACCTTTCTCCCCGCAGCACAACAGTGTGTAAACTATCTCTACAGATGAGATGCTTTCCAACTTTAGAGACTTAGACGCTGTCATATCACCTATTCAAACTCCTAGAACTATGACCCATTCTCTGCCAATCCCTTTTCTAAAGTAAGCAGCTCCAACTCCATTAGTTTTTCTTTTTTGTATTAACTGTATTTTCTGTGGTCCTCAATCTTGCCTCTCATCTCCACTCCAAGTTTCCATGTCCTTAGCAAGCTGTGGAGCTCAGCACAAGATCTTGTAAGCTCTGATTAGTGTACTTGGAATACAATACAGTTACTACATTAAAGTAAAAGGAAAGTGAACGTAGGATTGCATTCATCATATTGCTTTTCTTTTAAAAGTGCCTTCATTTTTTCACTGTGTTGGAAAATTTATAAAATTTCAGACTTGATGAATACATGTTAGTATCACTTCCTACATTCACTGCCCTCTTGAGGAAAGATTCAGCACACGGACTCTCACCTCATAGCAGCGTATCTAGGCCACATACCTTTGCTTCAGAGACCCACACTGCTTGTCCTTGCTGATTCTGAATGGTGTCCTTCAAGGTGCCAAACCAGCTATCATTAGCTGAATTTAGGTTGATCGTAGCTATAGAAATGTAAACAAAAAGGTCTGCATCAATTTCTACAGCAGTGTTTATTCAGGAAGCTACCTGACCTATTTTTTTGTCATATTTGAATTAGCACTAAATCTTTTTGGATGAATGTAACTAACCATCTAGCTGATGTAGTTTACATTACAGACAGACAGGATAAAGCTAAAAATGGGTTTATTTTCAGAATATCAACTTTTCAGAAAAGCCACTTTCAAAAAATATATTTTTAAAAGAATGTTTTCAGTAGCACACATAATGGATCTAAAATAAAAGTACCACATTTTATCTTTTTTTTTTTGGTACTGGGGATCGAACTCAGGACCTTACGCTTGCGAGGCAGGCGCCAGAACCACTGAGCTAAATCCCAGGCTAAAGTACCATATTTTAAAGATGACTATGTAGATATGCAGATTATAAGTAAGAAAAAGCACCACTAAACTATTATCTATCTCTAATAAATACTAAAGGGAACATTTCAACGCTTGAAATCTTGGATCGTCTTAAACATGTGGAATACGCAGATTAACCTAACTCAACTGATGTGTATTCAAGGAATATTTCTTTTTTCATTCAGAACAAAATGTATCTTACATAAGAGCCCTTACTATGAGTCAACCAGATACTGTTTCAAGCACTTTACATGGATTAGTGTATCAAGCTTACACAGACTCTACAAGGCAGGTACTGCTATCATAGCCATCTAAGGCACAATTGTGAAATTAACCAGTTCACGGTCTTACGCCATGAACATAAAGGAGCCTGAGCACAAACTCAGAAGTTTGCATTCAGAGTCTATTTCCTTAGCCACCACACTACACAGCTTGTCTCAAGACACAAATTTGGAACATGGGTATAAAACACCAACAAAGTACAACATAAATAGTTGTTCTCTGGCAATATATATTATGGACCCAATGGAAACAAACCAGATAAGCAAACTGGTCCAAAATAATAATTTAAATTGGGTCTAAAATTATCAGACTTGGGCCGGGGGTTTAGCTCAGTGGTTCTAGCGCAAGGTCCCGAGTTTGATCCCTGGTACCAAACAAACAAACAAACAAACAAATAAAATTATCAGAATGAAGGTAAGATTTTTAAAAATTATACCATCATGGCTTTTTATTAGATGGTACATCATTTCTCAAGCCCCAAAGAACCATTAATCAAACTTTGTAAGCAACTATGCTTCAAGTTTTCTTTGAAGTAACATACAGCTTTCTTTCATTTAAGAAGTTCTAACACTGACCTTAGAAAATCTTGAATGAGCTTACAATTTCCTTGGTTATTAATTATTTACAGCATTAGAATAAAGTGATACATTGGACAAACCAAGGAAAATTAACCTTGAAGCCATGGATTTTTGTGTCCTTATACTGGTACTTTGCAAAGATTATTGCGCCCATAGCTAGAATATGATGCCATGTACCTAAATGTGGAAGTAAGATTCTATACCCGAGAGACAAAATGAGTGATTTGAACAAAATGCATGAAAAATGTTAAGTGGTCTTTTAAAGCTCTCTATTGGCACTGTCTAGTGTAAGTACAGCCTGTAGTCATCATAAATAAAGTTTTAGAGTTAAAAGGGCCACTGAAGAAATGCAAAAAATATGTTTACATTACTGATGAAGTCACAAAACCTCTTAATGGGTCACATTAACAGTCAAACATAGGAACAAAACATAAGAGCTTCACAGTAGCTAATTTGCTGGGCTCCACGGGATGGTTGATAACATCCACATCATGCACTTGGCCTCTTTAAACAGGTGGGTGTGCAGCCACAATGCTGCCACCCTGACCATGAACCAAATACCTATGGCTTACTGTTAGCTTTCCCACTAAGATTTTTCAGCTTCTGTGATATTCTGCAATATGTACTAGCAACTTCATGCTGCTCCTATCCTGTGCCCCTTGGATAGGCTTAACACAGCTTTCAAACTAAAGAGTATGACATTCTAAAAGGATCCTCACCCAGTCACCATCCTGGCTGGGAGCACTGGGGTTTGAAGGGCATCCATGTCCGGTTCTGGCACATGTGTAGTGAGTACTTCCCCACCCCTGGCCAAAGAGGGGGAAAGCACCAAGGGCAGCAGCAAAAGGTGACTTGTAAGGCAAGAAGAATTAGGAGAACTCGGGAGTGAGTGACTGACTGCCAGTGGGTGTGAGGGTTCTCTTGAGGGTAATGAAAGGCTCTAAAAATGATTGTGGTGATGGCTACACAACTCTAAATGTATCCAAAACCACCAAAGTGTATGCTTCAAATGGGCAAATGGTATGGTATGTTAATCACATCTCAGCAAAACTATTCATGTGGCTGCATCAACATTCAAATGTGACCTAAATGAACAAGTTACAGCAAAGGACCCAGCTGGGAGCTGAGCATCTTCCCCCTGCTTCCTGTGGCCAACTGACCCTCCATGGCTCCTCAGGAAACCAAGAACAACCTGCTGAAGTTGGGTTTCTCAGCTGGTAAAGATTCCCACCCCACCACCCCAGCTTTTCAAAGACTAAATAATGACACAGAAGCCTTTTCATTATGTGATACTGAAGATATTAAGTATAAATTATTATCAACTAGTAATACTCAGCATTTGTTCAGTACTCCCCAAATTCCAGTACTGTAGATAGGTAAGTTAATTAGATATCTTGTGTGCAGTTAGACAGGACCAGCCCTCCAGGAGCCAACACAGCAAGGAACCAACATGGAGAACAATTGAGGCACATTCACTGGTTAGCACTATAAAAGGAAAAAGAAGTACTACTTCCCCTAGAGAGAGATAGCAGTGATTGATATTCTAAATGGGAAATTCCTTGTATGTGACTTGTCTTCCCATTTGACCCCCATTTAATCAATATTACCTGGGTGACTGTACTTACAATCTTATTGGTTGGTCATGGCTGTGCCCCACCTTATGGCCACCTTGTAAATTTCCATTGGGTCTTATAGTTTTGTCCCACTTTGTACCTGCCTCACCACATGGCTTTGCTGTATAAAACATCTCTGAAAAGTAGGGTGAGCGGGCAACCCACTTTCCGGTCCCCCTTCTGTCTCTCTTAGGCAGAAGCTTTCTTTCTCCCAGTAAATTTATCCCACTCTTATCTTCCGTTGCTCCTAGAATTCATTCTTCAATTTTAGAGAACACGAACTCGCGTTTCTAGTAGGTTTGGGAGTTATATCTCTTCCCCCTATATCACCAGGACTGAACAGTCCAAATTTCATTTTAACAAAGCCTGGAAAGCTGAGAAAATGACTTATGCCATCCCATAGTACTTTTAAATGCCACACTTTACAATCTGGGTCTCTAAGTTCATTAATTCCACTTGAATGGTTTTCAAACTATGAACGGAGTGCTTCAAAGATTCTACAAAAACATGTAACTCAAACTTCATTTTTTAAAAAAATTAATTTTTGTGCTAAGTACATATAAATGTATTTTTTAAAATTTGAGAGGGGGAAGAGGCAAGCTTAACATTCTAACTTATTTTGACAAGTCAACTTGCTTTGGGCAAGTATCAGAATAAAGCATTTGCTGTTTAACTGAGGAGTGTCTCAAAATTTTAAGATATTTTAATACTGTCTAAAAACTTATCAGTAAGAAAAAGGGCTTTATAACTATGCAAAAAGGAAAATAACAGGATATTAAGCCTAATGAGACTACATGTAATGTAAAGCTGGACTTCAAATTGTGAACTGTATTACTTCTATTAATTCAAAAAATACTATATATTTAAAATCATACAAAATAAAATATTAATTTTGCCTAAAGGTTCTGCTGCTCAAGTTTGAAAACCAGTGTTTCCGGCCATGGCACACACCATTCAGACTCAACCTGGTCAAGTAGACTGGGAGTTGGGATGGGGAACAAAAGGGCCTGGTGAAGCCTTCCGTGTAGCTTTGAGTAGTCAAACTTAGAAGTGTGCAGGACTATTGTAACAGACCAGGGGTGGAGCACTCAGACTACTGGTCCAATCTGTGGAGCACCCTGCAGCACCCATCCTGAAGAAACATCACAGATTGGCAAGGTATGATGAGATCAGGTCCCTTCAAAGCTCCATGTGAAACTCGATGCTCATACAATGTTTCTCCTTCAATCTCTTCTGGTTTTAGTTATCCTAAAACTTTCAACTACTGTATCTGACTAGCATACCTAAGAAATGGCTTGGTGGGCCAGAGGCAGTTCTACCATAGGTCACATGCATTTACGCCTGGCCTATTTGCTAGTCCTGGTGCTGGCCTTATGCATGTGGAGCTCGATAAAGTAGGCTCTCCCTTCAAGCATCTTGGAGCCCATTGGTAGAGCTAAGCTGCTAAACCCTTCTATATACATGGGCCCCTTCAGATCCACAATCAGCCTCAGCTATACTGCGCCATGTGTCCCAAAGAATCAACAATACTAACTCGAGGCTAGAAAAAGGGGGCGTTCACAGTTACTGGCTATTTTCTTTTGCCTGCTCTCCATGTCCAGCCTGTCAGTCTCATTCTTCTTCCATAACCTGTTATTTCCCTTCCTCATTTCTCACATCCTTGCATGAAGCCCAAATTCCTCTGTCTGAGGAAAGCTCCTAATCATTCAGTGGAATTAAAGACAAGGGGGGAAATTAAGGGGAGCATGTTTAACATCATTCACAAGCAAATGGGCTTCGACTTCCTTGTCTGTTAAAAGCAGGAACTGTATTACTAGATGATTCAAAAACACAAAATCTGAAATGCTCCAAGGACCAAAACTGAGACTTGTCATGATGCCACAAGAGAAAAATTCTATACCATGAAACCTTGTTTCATGTGCAAAACTATTCAAGATATTATAAAATCTCCTACAGGCTATATATTAAGTTGTATAAAAAAAGATAAGTGAATTTTGTGAGTGAACTGGGGGTTGCATCCTCAAGATAGCTCATTATATATATATGCAAATACTCTAAAATCAAAAATTTAAAACATTTCTGATCCTAAGCATTTTGCAGAAGGGATGATCAACCTGTATGACCCCTTTCAGCATCAGAATTACTATTTCTAATTAGAACTAGAATACTGTATGTCTGTGCTGTAAAGTACCAGGGATGCCACAGTTTCACTCTAGGCTCAACCCACACAGAAGGATCTGTGGCTACGCAGAAGAAGCTGGCCCTTCATCTACCCAATATGATAGCACACAGGAAAAGATGTACCACTGTTCACCACTGCTATCGTAACAGCAATGATAATTAACATTATTAGTAGTATATCAGTCACTTTTCTCTCACTGGGACAAAATGCTGACACTCAAAACTTAAAGGAGGAGACATTTATTTTGGCTCATAGTTTTAGACAGCTCAGTCCATGGTTGGCTGGCTCCAATGCAGAAGCCTCATGGTGGAGGTGCCTGGTGGAGAAAAGCTGCTCACCCGATAGCAGCCAGGAAGCAGAGCAAGCCAAGGGAGGAGCTAAGGACAAGAACACACCCAGGTCACAACCCCAGAGACTCACCTCTTCTGACCAGGCCCCACGCCCTAACAGCACATTCAGGTATGAATTCATCAATGGATTAATCCACTGATGAATACAGTGGTTACATGTACTATGCTTGTAATTCAGTTGCAACCAGAATCACGGAAAGAATTAAGATTGTAAACTGAGGTACTACTGTATAGTGTTCCTGTGATCCAATCACCTTTCCAAAGCCCCACCTCTGAACACATGAGACTTTTGGCAGACAATGTGAATCTAAACCATAACAAGTAGTAAAAATGACAGAGAAGATACACATAAATATAACAAAAGCACAAGCTCTTTAAACTACATTCACAGAAATCGAGTTCCAAATGGATGACTTCCTCCTAGCAAAACAAGTTTCAATCACTCTAAGTTACATACATTGAAGGTAAGAGGAAAACAATGACACACCATCTGTGCAGAAATGTGGGTAACAGACTGTGAGCTTGGTTCAATCACTAGCTTTGCAGTCCCACACCGAAGTCTGAACCTCATCAAGATGACCAATGCCATCTGCAGTCAAAATTACAAAGTTCAATATGAAAATGCCATGGATCCAATAAATCATTTCACAAGACTAAGTACTTTTCAAGGAGTAGGAGCTCTGATTCTCCATTCAGATTTTTTCTTCCATTTTTCAATTCTCTATCTCTCACTTTTGAACGTAGGCTACATTTAAATTTTCACATACCTGTGAAAAGATATGCACAAGTTTTCTTGAGCTTGTTGGCTTGATCATATAGCTTTCGAGAACTTTTGTTGGATGATGGATTCAACCTCTGTCTCATCATTTTAATACCTTGTCTAGATTCTGGGTTGAAAAATATCACAATTGGGAACCACTGGGTATAATTCAACAGGTCCACAGCTTTCGGAGTCACGTCTAGCAGTGCATGCTTATCCTGTTACAGGTGGGGAGAAGGTACATAGGTTGGTATGTAACATACTACAGTATCATGAAGAGTTCATTTTAGTAACAAAGTGCTGTGACAAAAAAAGTGTACATTTAAATTCAAAAAGCATTTCTTTCCACATTATGTCCACTTCATTATAATCAACTGGTTAGAACTTCTAATTTCACTTTCCCCAGTTTCAATTACCTGAGGTCAACAACTAGCAAAATCAAGGATGAGTAGACTATGATATTTTGATAAAGATCACCTTCATACAATTTTATTATAGCATAGTTTAATTGGTCTATTTTATTATTAGTTATTACCTGAATGTGCCTAATGCCTCTATGTGCCTAATGCATAAATTAAACTTTATCATAGATGTGTAAGGACAGGAAAAATGATGTATCTGTAGGGACAGTATTACTCATGGTTTTAGACATCTAGCAGGGGTCCTGGAACATATTCCCCTCAGACTGGGGGGGCCTACTGTTAAAAGATTTTTTAGGCTGGGCATGGTAGCACATGCCTGTAACCCCAGCACTCTGGGAAGCTGAGACAGGAGGATCACAAGTTTCAGCCCAGTCCAGACAACTTTGCAACTTAGCAACACCCTGTCTCAGAAGTAAAAAAAAAATGCTAGGAACGTAGTTCGGTATGAAGGTTCTGGGTTCAATTCCCAATACAAAAAAAAAAATTATGATTTTTTGGTAAAATGTTTAGAATTCTGAAAAAAAAAAAACTGATTCAATTCGTTCTAACAACATGGCTTATTGATGGATTTTCTCACCTGCTCAATAATTTGCCTCACAGTATTTAATCGAACTACTCCAGAAGATTTCTCAGATCCTGCATCTTTTGGCTCTGTTTCTGAAACAGCAAAAATAAGTAATTCTTTTAGAAATCAGTGAATTCCAAAGGCTCCAACTTGCATCAGTAACGATGGGATGCCTGACGCCATGAGATGATGGGAAGGGCCGTGTCCCTTGTTTAACTATGGCGGACTGCAGTGCTGAGGCTCAAGCACAGGTCCCATGCATGCTAGCCAAGGGCTCAACCACCGAACTCTACGCCCAGCCCTGCTTATCTGGACTCTAACCACGGAGAAGCAGGCAGTCCTATAGGGAACATTCCATGGCTTGGGCTCTTCAAAATACAGTGGACCCTTGAGTAATGACCGGCCTCACATACAAACAACTTGGGTTACGACCGGAATTTTAATTTAACTTACGACCAAAGTCTTGGGTTACAAACTGAATGCCAGTCTTTCCTGTGTGGGGTTGAGAAATCCTGGGGCAGTGTCTAAGGACACTGTGATTTGCCTGGAAGAAAGTGTGGCCTAAAATTATACAGGAGAGAGACTCTGAAGGCTGTGTAGAGGAGCCTGAGCCTTCAATTGACCGTATGGTTGATGACACTGTCATTATAGTAGAATCCACAGGCTTGCAGGCAGACAGTGGTGATGTTGAGGAACTGGTAGAGGAACACTCAAAGGAACTGTCTACAGAGGAACTTCAGCAACTTCTGGCTGAGCAACAAAGAATGGCAGCTGAGGAGCTTTCTGAAGAGGAAGGGGAGCATCAACAATCAGTGCAGCAAAGTTCTTCTTGTGAAATAAAGGAAATCCTGAAAAAATGGACAGAGCTACAAACATTTGAGGAGAAGATTCACCCAGACAGAAAAAAAGCCAACCGTTGCACTTAATTGCTTAATGACGATATCATGTCATACTACAGAACAGTGCTAAAGAAAAGACAGAAACAGCCAACCTTAGACCAGTGTATAGTTCTGAAAAGGGACCTAGTGAGCCAGAAGCAGGTCCTAGGCAGTCCCAAGGAGAGAAAGGACACCAGAGAGCCAGATTTCCTGATGTTCTTAGGGAAGGGGGCTCTCCTTCCAATTAATAACCACCTTCCATTTCAGCCTCCCTTCCTGAAAGCCAAAGATGTCACCTTGAATGGTGAGTACAGTGTGAAGTCGTTGTTTCTGGTAAACCAGGCATACTTTATAACTTTTTGGTGAATATACTAGGAGTTATTGATGTTTCTGGTAAATTATGCACATTATACAACCCTTTTTTATTATGAAAAGGTTAGTTAAGAAGTGCTTTGGGAAGTTCAGAAAACATTATGTGTATTTCCATTATTTCTTATGGGAAAAAGTCTTGACTTACAACCAACTTGAGTTACAACCAGCCTTCAAGAGGAAGTAGAGTTTGTAAGTCAAGGGTTCACTATACCAATGTCCCAGGTAATTTAGAGGAAAAGGAATAAAAATACATAAGAAAAATCATAAAAATCAAATGTAATGCATGACCCTTGGTTATGTCCTGAAATTTTGGGGAGGGATCAAACTCAGGACCTTATGGTTGTGAAGGTGGTGACGGCATCACTGAGCTAAATCCCCGGCCCCACTTGAAAATTTTTTTTTAAAGAAGAAGTAAAAGTATGAAATATTTGGGACAATTGAGGAAATTGAAAAATAGACTATACATTAAATATAAGTTGAATTTTCCTCATCAGAAATGCTTGGACCAGAAGTGTTTTGGATTTTAGAATATTTGCATATGTAAAAAACAAGACATCTAGGAAATGGAACCAAATCTAAACATAAAAGTTATTTCTTTTATACTTATACATGCAGATCGAAGGTAATCTCATACAATATTTTCAGTGGGCTTATATTTTGATAGTAAACTGTCACTGGGTCAGGTTTGAAATTTTCCACGTGACACATCACGTTGGTGCTCAAAATGTTTCAGGTTTTGGAGCATTTCAGATTTCGGACTAGGATGCCCAATCTGTAACATCGTACGTTATAATTTCACAATGTTAAATTTCTCAGTCACCGAGCTGATAATGGTATTGTGATCATGTCAGAGAATAGTCTTGTTCCTAGCAGACTCACACATGTACTCCAGGATAAAAGTCTGCAACTGAAACTTTCAAATGGTTCTGCAGAAATGTTGGAAGATGTGCATGTGTGTGACTACGCATGGGCAGAGGGGAGGAAAACAGTGTACGGAACGAAATGCTAACAGTCAATGACTTTAGGAGAAGGCCATGTAGGTGCTCAGTAGGCTAGAAATTTTTCAAAGTAAAAATGTAAGGAGAAAACATTACTGACAGACTTACTAGCAGTTTGAAACAAGTCAGGTAACTCATTTGTCAACTTTTCCATTGCTATATCTGCTATGGGGCCAAATAACACCACAGGTCTCTTGAAACCCGCTGAAATGAGAAAAGAAAGGTCATTAATACATACGCATACCTAGCTGTTCAGGTAAGAGGCAAAAGTATTACAAAGGATTTTGAAAATAAAGAAATTGCACATTCTCCTGCCCTCAACAGAACTCAGCTCTTTCCTGGAGAACAGGCCCTCACCACCCACCTCACCATTTTCTTTTTTTTTTTTTTTTGGTACCAGGGATTGAACTCAGTATCTTGCACTTGCCAGGCAGGCAGTGGAACCACTGAGCTAAATCCCCGGGCCCCACCTCACCATTTTTAAAGATAATGTTGCTGTGGGCAACATATAAAAACTTTTGAATGGTGGTACTGAAAACCGTTTTTTTGCTTTTACTCCCAGGGACTGAACTCAGGACCCTGAGCTGGTGAGGCAGGCATGGCGTCACTGAGCCAAATCCCCAGCCCTGAAAATCTTTTTTAGGTTCCAGAAATTTGTGTCCCCTGAGGAGTCTGAACAGCTTACTTCCTCACTACAGTATGATTCCAACTCTTCACTGGGTTTTGGTGTAAGTGATATAGGTAAGCTACAACTTGACTGTTCTAGTTTGAAAATGATAGCTCCTCACCTTCTCGCAGCAGAACCCTTTCATATGCTGGGAATTTGGTGCTCACAGACACAACAGCTGTCAGGTCTTCTCGGCTCTTCCTCAGGTTCTTCTTTGCCCCAGATCTCTGACCACGCATTCTCCAGAAATCTGCCCTGTCCCCAGCACTGTCCCTCTGGCCATTCTGGACACTGGCCATCTGTTCAGCTCTGAAAGAAACCATTGGAAGCAAATCTCTAAAGCCAAGAAATAGAACTTCGTTAACCAGACCTAGTCAGTTTTACTTAAGACGTTGGATTAGAGGAAGATTCAGCTTGACAATGAAGCTATTTCCAAGGGAAAGATGTGGTGATCTTCACTTCCCAACAGAGGCAGAAAAAGACAGGGTGCCTGTGAAGCCCACCAGAAGTAACTTGGTGATAAACACACCAACTTTGGCTCATCTGCCTTAGGTTATAGTAAACACACCTGGAACCCCTGCTAGAATACAGGTATCTTTCCCAAGTTTCTACAGCATCAGCAAGTGTTCCTTGTTTTACACAAGCCACTCTCAAAGATGGGAATCAGAGGTGTGCTGGTGCGTACAGCCACTCAGCACCTACTGTGTGTCCTGTGCAAGGCCTTGGACACTCCTCAGGAAAGCATCAAACACAGCCACAGGCAACTAGCAACCAGATGCTGCTAAGTACTCAGCAAACGGGACAGGTGGCTAGTCACAGTTCCAGGCCACTCACCATAAAAACACAATGAAGGCATGTGGGATTTCCTTTTGGGGGGTCTGCTGCTCTTTCTAGTGGGAAGGACAAAAGGTGTGTGTAGGAACATACAATCTCAGATACCTGCTTTTGTTGGGGATTAAGCCTTTCTCCAGTTCATTTCCAATCCTCACAGCCAGCCAGTGGCCCAGCTTGCCATCATACAGCGTGTCCACTACTCGGAAGACCTCCCCCCGGGTAAAGGGCAGGCTCTGTGGAGTTTCCTTCTCACACTCAAAGTGAGTTCTTATAAAAAATGAATCACCTCTGCCACAAGCCAGGATGTCTCTGAACACTGAAAGACAAAAGCAATGTGTGCTGCACTGGGCTGCATGCAGGACCTCTCCTGGGTTACCAGCTTCTCTCGTCTCTGATCCCCTCTTCACTTTCTCTCGTCTCTGATCGCTCTCTTCACCTTCTCTCCATTCAGTGGCCACATTGCATAGGTTTTATAGAAATCACAGCACCAACAGAAAAATGAATAACTTCATGAGTTGCTGTGATGATTAATGTATGTGTCAATTTAAGTGGACACTGAGCAATCACTATGGGTGTCTGTGGGTGAGGGGCTGAGATGAGGTAAACATTTAAATGGGGAGAATGAGTAAAGCAAATTTTCCTCCCTAATGTGAGTGACCTTTATCCAATCAGCTAAAGGCCCAAACAGAACAAAAAGCAGACTCACTCAGACTTGTTCTCAAATAAAAGAATACTACTCTTCCTGCCCATTGGCCTTCCAAGCAGGACATCATCTTTATCCCTGCCTTTGTACTAGAAATATACCAACACCTCTCTTTAATTCTCAGGCCTTCATACTTGGACTAGAACTAAATCCTTTGCTTTGCTTGGTGTCCAGCTTGCCTGCCATGATGGATAAGTCAAATTATCAAATTGATTGGCTCAGGAACCTCCAAGGTGATTAATAAAGCACATTTCTGAGTGTGTCTGAGTGGATCATGGAGGTGTGACAGTGGGGTCTATGTCTGGTTCCTTGCCCCTTCCTCTCTGGCACTGTCTCCCTGCTCTGTTATCTGGCTGCCTTGAATTAAGCAGATTTGTTCTGCCATGCCCTTCTACCACAATGTTTCTGCCTTGAAGGCAGCTGACCATGGACTGAATCCACTGAAATTGTGAGTGAAATAAACTTCTTTAAATTGTATGTGTCAGGTACTTGGTCCCAGCAATAAGAAGACTGATTAATATATCTGCTCACTGTGCAGACCTTGGGACTTATCAGCCTCCATAATTATGTTCACCAATTACTTCAAATAAATCTCTACCTCCCACTGGTTCCAATATCTCCTACTCATTCTGTATCCCTGGAGAACCCTGACTAGTTTAGTTGCCAATTAGCCCTCTGAAACAGACGGAGAAGAGGTTATTCTGGCCTCCCACTTCACAGATAAACACAGGGCACTGAAAGGGAGATCTACTTGTTAGACTGCTAAAAGGTAAAGTAGGAAGCATCAGCAACTGTGGCTCTTAGCATCTGTCAGACGGATACCCAATAACTGCAAGATGAACTTAAGGATGTATCACTGTTTGGAAAATCATTTTATTCCAAATTGACACAACTAGAGAAGTTATTTTAGTAAGTACAGAGAAAACATTTTTGGAGAAATGAAGTGGCACCCAAACTTTTCCCATACACCTGAGACCCAAGGATTAGATGTCAGGACCCGCTTTAATTATTTAATGTGTTCTTTCATACTTCCCACTCACCCGAAGTAAATTAAGAGACTAAATGTGCTCACCATCAGCTCGACTCTGAACTAAAATGGTCACCATTTCACCTTTGGGGATTTCCAAGAGATAGAGAACAGCATCCTCCCGAACCATTCCTCTGAAGTCCTGTGTATTCACCTGATAAGAAAGAAAAAACCAGGGGAAGAAATAAGAGAGGATTTTACAGTACAGTGTTATCTGAAGATTTTCATGGTTTTTTTTCATCAGGACTCTGAAAGCAAAACCAGGCCTCACCTTAAACAAGTCCTCGGTGTTTCCGTTCAAGCCCTCCCCAGCACCAGTGGGCATGACTATCTTATCTCATCTCTTCCTGCCACAACTATCTTATCTCATCTCATCCTGCCACAACACCAGTCAGGGAGACCACTAATTCTGGATCCAACTGGAAAGTCTTGTGTTCTCCTCCCCTTCTCTCTCTCTCTTTCTCAAACCATAGAAAAATTTTATTGTGATCTAGCATGGCAGATGTATTTAAAAATATGTCATGATTTAATGTAAGCGTTTTATGATCTGTTAGTCTGGCTCTTAATCTGTGTTTATGATAATTAACTTGATAAAGATTTAAAAACAAAATAGGTTTGATGATGGCAAAACATTAAAAAAAAAAAAGAAAAAGAAAAACAGGACTAGAAGAGGAAAATAAAAGAACTGAGCTGAGTTATGCACATGTACCAATTCCCTACAATGAATGTAATCATTATCTACCGCAAACATGTACTAATAAAAATTTTTAAATTACATATAAAAATGATTTTTAATAAAAAATATCCTATCATGAATTGCCCATTAATTAAGGTCAAAATTTGTGATTAAGTCAAAGGAGGCAACAGACTAAACCCAGGGCTTTCTAGAAAAATACTAAGAGACTCTAAAGCAATCAAGTTATGTTTTCCTTTGGATCAGTATTTATTATTTAGGTTCCGTCGTTCCCACCTCTTTGTCCCAATTAGAGATCATCAAATGTCGGTGTTTACTCCTTTCCTGTGCAGTATGTAGATGTCTGTACTTATGTATGGCCACATGGATGTTTCTGTATGTGCTGCACATGCTTATATTTGTCTATTTAAGGAAGGCAAGATCACAAGGCAGACTTCAGAGGTCCTTCTGCCCATCTCCATGGCCATGTGACACTGATCTTCAGTCAGGCCAAAAGCTTGACTGGTCAAAATGAAAACACACGTGGTGGCTACATTTTAAAAATCCATATAACCAAAGCCCGAAATATTTCTTTTTTCTTTTCCAACCCATAAAAGTTTCTGAAAGAGAAAGGCCAACCATACTAGATAAATAATAAGCAAACAACAGTCAGGCCAAGCAGGAAAAAACATAAACGCAAGTGTGCTGTCGTTGGAAGGTATATACTCTATACTCTGCTGTGGCTCCACACACTCAGGCCTCCATTCCAGGCCGGAGGCCGTCACCATCACAGAATGAAAAGCCACGCTGAGAAAGCCCACAATAGAACAGAACAGAGTTTGTCTCATACACGCAGGCTGGCCATGACTGAAACAAGCCAAAGTGAAAAGAGCCAGGGTAGCACTTTTGTACTTGAAGGTTACACTGTACAGTTCTCCGCAATAAAGATCCTCTTTCATTAGCTATTTAGGAGTTTGCAGGGTCCAGTGCATCTGCCACAAGCCTGCAGAGGATTCTATGTCAGCTACAGCTCTGAAGTGTGCAGCAGCTTCCCCACCCTGGTAGGCTAACTCAGTCTCTTCCACTCCTTCACAGAACGGAGGGTGCCTTTTGTAGGTAGCAGAAAATTTAGTCTACCCGTGAATGCAGACTACCTACTGCTGAACTTCCATACAGGATTACTGCAAAAGAAGCCAGCCTCCAGTTTCTTCCTTGTTGCCAATGATAATGATACTTTTCTAAAGTATAAATGCAGAAGACTGTGACTTTTCACCACTGAAAGCTACTCTCTGTCTTTTCTAACAACTTACAGAGAGGTCTGTCAGGTGCCTAGGTGAATTCTCTACTTTTTATTATGGAAATTTAAAAAGCCCACGCCACCTTAAGGGCAAATCTATTTCATCCTTGTATCTTAAATGAGCAAAAGCTCCAAATCTCTGACTGATATCCTATGGCTTTACACTACCTACAGAATAGCTCTTTTTTTACTGGCATATTTACCAAGCATAAAGTGGTACGTGCCGGCATTTGGATGGCATTTTTATCAGGAGCATTTGGTGGGGCCTCTTTCCTAGTATCATGTGCTACCATGAGGTTCACTTGAGTACAGAGTCTTTTAGGATCCCAAGCAGTGCTGAAGAAGAGCTAGAATTTCATTGGAAACCTTTAGCAAAGCTCATGATCAAGGTCTGTCCTTCATCCGCTCCAGAAATGAAATCTGAACTACCAGAACGGAGCCAAGTGCCGGGGAGGAAGGGGCCATCTGCCTTTGTACTTTGCAGTCTGCCTCCTTGGGGATTCTGTGACTTTCTCTTTCTCCTTTGAGCTCAGAAGTGCTCACAGGACCTCTACATACCATCTTTCCACTAAAATTAACAAGGGTACAAAGAAATAAACCAGAAGCAGAAAAAAATTCCAATAAGCACAGTTCCCTAGCATTCATATTTTTACAGTAATCAGGTACTTGGCATTCTTCAAGTTTATTCTGAAGTCAATTTTAAAAATAATTTGTAGCTCATAAAATGCTAAAATTACCAATCTTAAAATTTTCTAATATCAGTAAATTACCTAAACATAGAGTACCTTTAAATGTACCAATATTTGATTAACCAGGAATTTCTACTGCTAGACAATTTTAGATGGGTGGCTGCAGTGTGCTATCTTCCACAAGGGCCTTCTCTCTGTGTGCCAAGAACTCTGCTTGAGGCCTTGGAAATGCTACCTTTCCTATCCTCCCAGACTTCCGGAGAGGCAAGTACTCACCCACTGAATGTGCACAGACCACACGTCTCAGGGTAAACCAGGGGTATGGAACCTGGAGCACAAAACCCAGCAGATGTGGGGGTAGCATTCAGATCACTTAGTCTGATGTCACACCCACATCTCCTCACTTACAGGACACTGCCTTGAAGAGTGACACTTGACGGGGGAACACAATACACAATAAAAAACCAAAAATTCAAGATCTTTTTGGAATTTATTTCTCACAGGTTGAGTCTTAGCTTGCTTCCCCTCTCCCTCTCTCTCTCATCAAACTATAGTGGTACCTTGGTACTTGTTAATTGGTTCCAGGAAGCGTGCAACAAGTACCAAAACAACCAGTACAGAACAGGCTGTTTTGGCTGGAAAGTTTAGAGAATCACTAGGTAATCAACACTGACAAGGGCCGGGGATTTAGCTCAGTGGTTTCGCCACTTGCTGCGCAAGCGCAAGGACTCGAGTTCGATCCCCGGTACAAAAACAAAACAAAACAAAAAAAAGCACTGACAAGTTTCAGCTTGCATGTTGACTATCAAACAATCGACAAATGCTGGAACAAAATTTTTGTTCCAAAATGCACTTAGTACCAAATTCGAGAAGTTTCAAAGTAGTTGAGTACCAAGCTGTGACTCTAATAAAAATCTTGGCTGGCAAGGGCTGGGGGATTTAGCTCAGGGGCACCTTGCCTGCCTCACAAATGAGAAGTCCTGAGTTTGATCCCCAGTACCGAAGAAAAAGAAAGATTAAAAAATCTTGACAAGGGTTTTAAACTTTATAAATCCCCACTGACATCAGGATCAGTTTGGGATTCTCACGACTGAGAAGACAGGACCCATAAGCAATACAGAGACCTTAGTGGTAGACACCAGCAAACCTCCTGCTGGTCTTTTTCTCCTGTGGAGGAGCATCCAGAGAAAGACTCTTTGTTTTAAGTAACTCCTAGTAGCAAGGCTTGACTTCCCTTACCTTCAGAATCTGGTCTCCTTCCTGCAGGCCTGCCTGTTCCGCCGCAGTACCCTCTTGAATGCCACCAACAAATAATCCAACGTCATTGCCACCAGCGAGCCGCAAGCCCACACTGTCTCCCTTCTTGAACCTCAACATCTTGGTGTCAGGGCTGCAACAGTTTAGGTTGAAGGAAGAAAAGATGAGAGACAGTCTTAATTTTCTGTGTTTCTGTTTTTCTTTTTTCAAAATTTTATTAGCATATGTTTGCAGTACATAATGATTACATTCATCATGGGAGCTGATACATGTACACAATGTATCTTAATTCTTTTTATATCCCCTTCTCATCTACCCTCCATTTATTTTCTTTCTTTTTTTTTTAACCCTCCCTTTACTTTTGCAGTGCTGGGGATTGAACCAGGGCTTGTACATGCCAGGCAAGCACTTTACTACTGAGTTTTATCCCAAGCCTTTGCATTTTATTTTGAGGCAGCGTCTCGCTAAGTTGCCCAGGCCTCCCTCAAACTTGCAATCCTCCTGCCTGAGCTTCTTGAGAGGCTGAAATTACAGGCATGCATCATCACATTGAGCAAGAAACATTTTTTTTTTAAAGAAGGGACCTACATTAGCAGCTGAGATTTAACTTCATGTATCTATCAAGTGAGTTACACTTGACAAAGCACTCTCTCATTTTTCTCATCTATAACTTTATCTTCTTGGGACAGTGAGATGAAGGTCAGCAGGCCCACATTACTGGTGAAAGAGCAGAAATGTAGCATATTTTCATCAAGTATTTAAGATGCAACACCAAATAATTTTAGCTCTAACCCTACTCTTTAAGTTGGCAGACCCCAGTTTAGGATTCTTCCAAAGCAAAGCCTGTTGACATCCATAGCTCTTGTCAGTAAAGACACAGGCCGGGTCCAAGGAAGCTGGTCCTGATCCCGCTGCTGCTCCTAACCCTAGGACTAGAGGGCTCATCAAGTGCAGAGCCCTGCAGCACTCCCCCTCCCTTTCTCCACACTGGGATCACCTTCACCTCAGTCAGCTAAGGCACTGGGGTCCAGCAACACTTCACCTACTTAGAAGTCATGTATCTGGCCAATGCAAACACTTACAATAACATTCTGGAGAAGAAGCTAGCTAGGTAAACAGCACACATTATCCTAATAAAGTTCACCCATTTCTGCATTTTGCTTTTCCTACACATAACTCCTCTTTCCTATGAACACTACCGACAGGGGTTGTTTAAAAGTGGTTGATAACAGAAAAGTCACCACATGTGGGGGGAAGCCCCAGTATTCTTCTGGATTTCAGTTAAGGAGATTAGCTGTGTGGAAGAAGAAAGGAAAAGAGAGAAGGACAGAAACACATACCCATATATTGCTTCATCTTCAGGACTAGGACGGAGAAAAGCTCTTGGGGCTGCTCTGGGTAGAGGAGCTGTGGATTAAAAACATTTATTATGGGCTGGGGATACAGCTCAATGGTAGAGCACCTGCCTAGTATGCATGAGGTCTTGGCTTTGATCTCCACCAACACAAGGAAAAACACAACACAACACTATCCTTACCAACATGAACAGTGGGAGCTTGTTTCTAAATATAAAGATAGCAGAATCTGCAAAGCCTACTAAGTCTGTACCTTTTTTGACACATGTGTCATCAAAAAAAAAATCTTGAGGTGAAGCTTAATTTGCAGGCATTAGTAGGACCCAATGGTTTCTCAAAATGAGAAGAAAAACAGACCCCCAAAACGCAAGGTAAAGAAAATACTACTTTTTATAACCAACAATGTTATAATAATGCTGTTATTTCCCCATGGATAAATGTTTATGTGTGTAAAACTATAATGATAATCGCAGGGTGGTGGAAGCAGAGTTAGGATGAGGTTGGGACCATGGATGGGGAAAAAAAGGACCAAACTTTATTAAATATAACAAAATGTGGGACATTCTGATGGCATACAGAAAGGGTTGTTGTCTTTCTATTATTCAACATTAAAAGATAGAGACACAGGAGGGCCTCTTCCATATATAAGAATTATTTTTAATAATTTCTCTCTCTTTCAGCTGCCCTCTGGAAGTATCAAGCACATGCTTCTGAACTCAACTGTGGAAATGAGTGGCACTGGGCTGACCTCACAGTTCAGTGACAAAGTGTGGGCTTTCCTTACACAAAATCTGAGGTTCAATCCCCAGAACCACCCACCAAGACCAAGAGTGGCCTCAACGTCTCACCTGGGGGTTCCTCTTGGTATCTGGGTTCCTTTTTGGTCTCCGTGTCCCCCGAGGCCTTGAATGGGGTGGGTGTGGCCCCCACCCGGGACAGTCTGCCTGGGGCTGTGTCCTCTCGTGAGCTTAAAAGTACACACATGTTAATGTCTCGGGAGGTAAGGAGCTCAAAAATATGGATGTATGTACACACACAGTGATGTGTGCAACAGAAAATACACATCACCTTACCTTGGTCTCTCCTTCAGCTTCTCACTGGAGGAATGATAATCATAATCAGAATACTGCTGGCGTCTTTCCTCTGGAGAAAATGACCGGACTGACCCCATTTCTGAGATATCTGGTTTCAGAATTGAAAGACATTTTTTTTTGTAAAATATTTATGACATGCACTAGAAATTATACTATTTTCTGGGTAAGAGACATGGGAAGTGCAAGACAAGCGGACAAAAATGTGCTATTAGTGTAACAGTCTTTACCTAACAAAGGAAAAAAAAAAGATCAGTTTAAGGGAAAGGAATAATAAAGAAGTCAAATTCAGAAGCGAATATTTCGCTCATCCCACTTTCCACCAAAGCTGCTACTGAAAGGTCAAAATTCCATTGTGGTCTTTCCTCAGTGTCTGCAGCATGTTTCTAAGACCACTCTTCCAACCAAACTTCACCAATACTTAGGTTTGCACTGTGAAATGGCATGGAGTTTGCACATAGCCTACACACATCCTTCTGTACACATACTGCTGAATCATATCTAGATCACTTATAACACCTAATACCATACGGATACTATGCAATTAGTCACACTGCAGTGTTGTTTAGGGAATAATAATGAAAACAGAAAGTCTTAAACAACAGTATTGGAGAGTCAGAGCTATGAGGTGGCAGGAGGCTTTGGCAGAGTGTGCTTACATACCACTCTCGCCAATTCAGGAAATTCAAGTTGTGCCTTTTGGAACACTCTGGAATTTTTTTTTCCAAATAGTTTCAATCTGTGGTTGGCTGAATCCAAGCATGCAGAATTCAAGAATATGGAGGAGCAACTGTATTAAATCATGTACATATGTTCTCGTCCCTACCAAAATAGAGCAGTGCTTCTAACTTCACTGCACATTCAAATCACCCAGGGGTCTCTCACTGGGATGCAGCTGTTAAGGGCTGGGGCCTGAGATTCTGCAATTATCTCAAGCTCCCAGGCAACACTGCTGCTACTGCAGGCCAAGAATCACACTTTCAGCAGCAAGAACATAAACTAACGTCCTGACACACTGGGATTACTTCTCACCATCCTTTTGTTTCTTGCACTACACTCACAGCACTGACCAACTAATCAGATTTTTGGCATACTGGAAACGAAATTAAGACTTTATAAAGAAATTCTTTAAAACATAATCAACAAAGGCTTAAAGGTTAAGAACTTGATATTTTCTCAATTTTCCCATACAAAAGCAACAGTAGATTATTACGTAGTATATATTATACCTATTGTTACTGATAATTTCTACAAGGTTAAAGTGTTAGTCTACGCATAATTCATACCTGAATGAATATAGCTTTCAAAAAGAGAAGATAACCTAGATTACTAACCAATGAATATCACAATATTTGCCTTGTTAATTTTATTTTAGCATTTACATGTTTTAACTAGCCTCTAAATTGTCTTTTCTATTGAAAATACTAATAACCACTTTTAAAAACAAATATAAGTAAATATAAGAAAGAGGGTGGTACTGGATATTGAACCCAGGGCCTTGTGCACGCATGCTGGAGAAGTATTTCACCACTGAGCTACACCATCAGCCTGTACATTTTGAAACAGATTATTATTAAGCCACTTCGGCAGGCCTTTAACTTGCACTCCTCCTGCCTCAGCCTTCCCTGGTACTGGGATTACAGCCATTTGCCACACCTGGTTTTTCTTTCTTTTTTTGAGATCGGGATCTCACTACATTACCCAGGCTAGCCTTAAGCTCTTCAGCTGGAGTGAACCTCCTGGCTCAGCCTCTTGGGTAGCTGGGGCTACAAGTGTGTGCCACTGTGCCCAGTCTGCATATATCATTTACTAGCAGGTTTTGTTTTCAGTGGCCCAATTAAGAGTCTTCTAGAAGTTCACAAGTGTACAGTACCAGAATTTCATATTGGAAACCTAATTTCAGCAGATACTTTAATAAGCAGGTAACAACTGAACATTTATCTCTGGAAATTAAAGTTTAAAAGAGAGGCTGCTTCTGGAAATTCAACCTCTAGCTTGGATGGTTGTGCTAAACAATGATGAGGATGCAGTATCAGCAGCTCTCCTGTCTTCTGGCTAAGACTTTCCTTACCTTCTATTTCTGAGTCGCTGTCATTTAGTGATGGGATATTGACAAGAGTTTGCTTGCTGTCTCTGAACACCACGAGCTGGAGTTTTCCTCTGGACTTCTCTATCAACTTCCCAGCATCAATCAAAGACATGTTCTCAGTGACAGTTCCATTGATCTGTGTATATGAATGGTGCTATTATACACAACTCCTTACAGCTAAGTAGAAAAATTCTTATTTCCCCCTTCTAAAATATGTAAAGGCTTAGTTCAGATATTTATTTATTTTTATGACTAAATCCATTTATTCCAAAGAAAAAGCAAAATAAACAGGAGCCGCATTTTTTTTTCAGCTCAGATATTTAAATGGACAAGGACTTCAGGATGACTGACTGAATAAAAATGAATGATCCAGGGGATTTAGCTCAGTGGTTCCGCTGCCTGCCCCACAAGAGAAAGGACTGGAGTTCAATCCCCGGTACCAAAAAAAAAAAAAAAAAAAATTAAAAATCAAACCTTCTGTTCTACCCTGAGTGCCCCTCTGTGGGCCCAGATATTTAAATGGACAAGGACTTCAGGATGACTGACTGAATAAAAATGATCTTGGCTGGGGATTTAGCTCAGTGGTTCCGCTGCCTGCCCCACAAGAGCAAGGACCTGAGTTCGATCCCTGGTACAAAATAAAAATAAAAAGCCATTCCAGGCAGAGTGCAGAATCATGATGAT